GTGTCTTCAACTTTCTTAATGAAACAATTTTCTATGTTTGATCGATTAATTAGAGGTGACCAAAATATCATAAATTTTTTATTAGAAACTTCTAAACACCCTCTTTTTTGTGATCTTGATGTATTAAAATATTTTGGAATATCAAATAAACATTTCATCTCGTTATCCTTTTTATCTAATGACAAAATTTCATATAAAGTATATTCCCTTAAATTCTTATTTATCTCATTGTATTTTATAAACTCCATTTCATAACTTTGTTTTACATTATAGTCATAATATACATTAACATTCCAATATATTTTATAGTAATTAAAATATTGATCATAGATAGTATCTTTATTATTATAATTAAGATAATTTACTATCGATGGTATAAATTCTTTCTCTCTGCATAATTTTTTTATACTAAACATACCCAAGCCCCCATACTTTCTCATTCCGTAAAACATAAATAAGTTATACCTTTTATCGTTCTTACTACCCATATTTCCTTGTAGGTATTTTATAAACTTCATTTGCTCACCATATATCATAGCTTCATTTTCAGAATCAATTCTATTTTCAATAATATATTTAATCAAAATATTATTCCATCTATCAACCAAATCTATAAATCTTTTTCCGTTACTATTTTTTCTCAACTCTCTATTCATTATTTCAAAATTATCTACTTTATTTTCATATCTAGTTAATAAGTTATTTTCTGTTATATTTTTGTCAATAATTATCTTATTAAAATATCTTTTTATAGAATATCCTTCTTCAATTAAATAATAATCATAAACTACAGTAATCAAATAATGAATTATTGTTATAAATGGGATGCCATTTATAAGATATTTATTTGTGTATTCAATATCTTTATACATGATTACACTATTAAACCTTGATATTATATAATCTGTTATTTTGTTCTCAAACATAACTAGTAAAAACTTTCTCATTATATTTAAACTGATATTAGAACAATAATTCATATTGTATATATAACAGTTTTCTTTATATAAATTATTAAATTCTTCTTTACTAATAAAATAATCAAATCTAGGTAAACTTTCCCATAAAACCTTATTTAAAATTAAATCCTCATTTAAGTCAGTTTTATCTATCTTGTAATACAGTATTGATCAAAAAAAAGTGACCACTTAAAAAAAAGAGT